AAGACTGAAAAAAACACTACGGGGACATTCTGAGCTTCCGATTATTTATTTATGTCGTATATAAAAGTAACTGTATATAAGGGAGCATTTCCAAAAATGGAATAAGGTGGGCAGGGTGCCACTGTGTGTGATTTATTACATGAGCAATATCTTAGCAAATAGAAAATATAAGATGTTCTTATTTTATATTCTAGCTTGTCAATATCGGTAATTTGAGTTTCTAATTCGTACAAAACTATAGACTTAGTATTTTGACTTCACAAACATCTAATTTGAACCAGTGCTCCATTCAACATACCACATGACACACAAAAATTGATGTTTATCTGTTTTTCTTTTATATTTACTTTTAAATCAAGAAATTGAGTAATGTATAGTTCTAAAATTTGAATTATAATCTACAATTTGATACCAAACTTGTTGACATAAATTCATGAAATAGCAGTTCAATAAAAGTTTGAATGCGAGTCAACGAACGAGATGACATGCCCTTTCACCTATGACCCGTCTCGAAAAGGTTATATGTTGTAGCTTTACTTTTTAGATATGTTGAAAGTAAGAATCAATATTATCAGTATTGGGTGGGAGGTGGAAGAAGACCACTCAGCTTGATATATTCCAAGTATCTTAAAGGGTTATTACAGTTAGATACAGTGCTTGTTTCTAAATTCAAAAACAACTTCTTGTTTCAAAACATAGAGATTATCTTTTACTGATTTGTTGTAAAACCTAATTATAAAAAAACATAGTGAGGCTGTAAAACACTAAGAATTATCATTAGAGATGAATAATATTTTGTAATAAGTAACGATAACTATATTATTGATAAATGAAAATGAATTTGGAAATGTGTAGATAGTATTCTATACTTCAGAAATTAGAATTGCATATGTAACTGCTGAATTAGAAGAGCAGTTCAATCATGGTGAGTTTACTAAATAACTTAATTTGCAGGATGTAAACTTATAACAAAAGGCAGTCACACAGATAAAGTATATCTTATGGCTTTAGTGCATATGTTTAAATCATAATAATTAGTGAAGGAACGTATCCATAAATTGTACATGTTAGCAAATGATGGAGTAATTCTACAATTTTGTGATTTCTTTGTTTTTGTTTTAGACAGTCTTTGTTTGACTAATGAAAACATTGTTCCTATATATATACTAGGTATGGAATTTTGACTAAATATATTTCAATACAAAATTTTTCTCATGGTTTTATTAGAGAAAAACTGTTTCCTTTAGTACAAACAGCTTTATTAGTTGATACTACATAGCCAAAGCACAGACTCTTTCAATTAGGAAAGTAAATACAGGTTGAATACATGTAAACATACTATTTAGTTTGTGGTCAGCAGTTGTACTATAAACATAGTATATTGGAAAATAAGCAGAGATTGTAAAAAAAATACGTAAGATATACCTTGAAAGTATTTTTAAAATCCCTGTATTCAACTATCAACTTGTAACTGCCAAAACTTCTGTACGAACAATTGACAAGTTGCTTACATTATTTTAAAGCTTAGTTTCTCCCCTTTACAATGCTTTTTAAAAGTTTGTTGCTCTCAAGAGCAACTGACTTTTCAAATCCACTTGTACTAAACATTAAGAGTATCAAAAAGACATTAATACTTCTTGGTATTTGGTAATGTGTGATTTAAGCAATCCATGAGTGAAAGCAAATTCGAATATTTTGTAAAATATTAACCATACTACACCTACCATATCCAGTGTGATAATCCCAAATCCTGTTTGTGTTGTACATAAATTATTATCTAAAAAGGATTTTTAACAGCTAATTAACCATTTTAAACAACATCCTCCTGTAATAAACGAGCTGACAATTTTAGAATGCAATAAAGCCACAAAAGCCTGTTTAAATATACTGATGAACATAATCAATAAGGTATATACAGGCTCTCTAGGCAATGTTTGAAACCTGCAAAAACCATTTTCCATGTATTCCAACCTTAAATACCTTTACTTTCTTCAAATATCCTGTAGAAGCCTTTATTTTGATGTGTTAGAACTTTATTTTATAACATCGAAGAGTTCTGCACTGCATAACATTATAATTCTGTCAAGTGTACATCCTGCTGACTACTTCCTAACAAAACATTGATGAAAAATAAGGTATATTTTTTGTTTTAATCTTTATTTTCATAATTTTTTATATTAAAAACCTTTAATAAATAATTGACTAGGAGGATGGGGGAGGGGGGGGCTTGTACCAAGAAATTTCTCAATTTTGAAATGAATTTTGAAATAAAAGTTTTATATTCTTCAGTCTACAGATTTCCTGCAGCTTTTTGCATATTCATGATAGTATTGCAAATGTCATTAATCGTTTGATAAAAGGTCAAGGAGGTATTGAAGCTGGTGGAGAAGGGCACAATAATATACTTTAGTTAATATTGAAGGGTTGTAGTCTGTACAGGAAGAAGAAGAAGAAGGAAGAAGAAAGTAACAAATTAAAATAACTAACTACGTAATTTAACTTTAATTAGATTCTTCAGGAGTAATGAGCAATGGAACATCAACAAGAGTTTTTGAAAAGTTGAGTGTGTCCACTTCCCCATTGCCTAGTGGTGATGGTTTTACTACATATAACTTAAGTCCAGGGTTACTGCCAGTTTCCAGGTCATCCAAATCCAGTTCTACTGCTGATGGTCAAGGTACTATTTTTATAATCTGTTGGTGATTAAGTAGGCAGACACAATGTAAAAGCACGTGAAACTAATTTTGTATCGTAATTTACATTCAAGCTATTTGCATATTCTCTGTAAATTTTACATAGTAAGTGATGGTCTATTCTACAGAAACCAAAATTCATTTGAAGAAACACTACTGTAAAAAAAAGTTTTAAACTTAAATGATATTTACATTGTGCAGGTAATGAAATACTATTATATAATTTGATAAATATATCTTATGAATGTATTGGTATCATAAAAAATACTGAAACCAAATACAGAAATTAATTTGAAGAAACACTACTGTAAAAAAAGTTTCAAACATAAATGATATTTACATTGTGCAGGTAATGAAATACTATAGTATAATTCGATAAATATACCTTAAGATATATTGGTATCATAAAAAATATAGATATTCTATTTGATATACTGAGAGTGGAAGAAATGAATTAGTATTTTTATGCACAGTGTTTTGTGGAAAAAAATATTTCTTAATGTAAAACAGTCATTCAGGGTATTTAATCTTAAGACTTTTTTTTTAAATTTGTAAATTAGTGTAAGTTATTTATGATATAATGTTTTTAATACTTCAGAAACACTAAATTAATATGTATTTCTTAACAAGATAATAATAATTTTTTATGTGCTGAAGAATAATGTCTTATATTTACACATTTTGATATGAAATTAACATACAGACCATTTTTTTCTTTTTAACCCCTAACCTCATTCTAGAAATATTTCACCATAACGATGAAGATCCCAATCACAGATATATTTATGTAATGGTTTTTTAAATTTAATTACCATTTTAAGTTTTAGCAATTGGTGTTTAGTGCATGTAATGGAAAACAAGAAATGTATATTTTTTTCCTTAATAAATAAAAAGTTTTCATTATCCTGAAAAAGTTTTCAGGAGGAACCAGGTCTTAGTGATGAGTTAAGATTTGCTTATTTATTAATAATAAAATTGTTAATGCAGTTGTGTCTGTTGAATTAAATCTTATAGGAGATAAAAGATCTTTGGAAGAAGTTCCAATTCCAGAAGTGAAAAGAAAGAAAATTGAAGGTAGTTTATACAAACAGATTACCTTATTACAGTTATGATAAAAGATTATTATTTCTGACTAACTTTGTTCAACAAAAAACTTAAAAAGACTATTCGGCATCAATTGAGTTTACCGGATTACTGAAATACTTCATCACTTGCTTTTGTTTATATATTTGTAAGACAGCATGAAATATTTTGCTGTTTTCTACTGTGCATATCATGTTGTAGTTTTTTGTTTTTTTTTAAAGAATAAAAAATCAAACTTGTTATGTAAGTTGGTTACAAATGTAAAACTGTTTTTTTTTTTTTGGTAAAAATAAAAATACGTTGGTGAAACGTAATAGCATCCTTTTCTTTACCAAACAGGTGATATTCCAGAAGAAACGGTTGCTGAAATATTAAAAACTATAACCGATCCAAAAGAAATGTTGGGTCCTGAGGTATGTTTGCATAAATGAACTATCATCTTTTTATCTTGATTGAAATGTATGTATTAAAAAATAATAAATTCATCATGATTAAACCATTGATTTTGGGCTCGTTTCTTTTGTATATATAATAATTGTTTAATAGTGTTATATTTAAAATATAATCAAACAATTTTATTATCAAATACATTTGTGAACTTTGCATAAAAACGTAGATTATAACTTTACATGATGTATGTTTGAAACCAATAAGAAGAGCACATTCTCCCATACATAAGGCTCATTACAACTATATGATTTTGGTGCCCAAGAAATAACAGTATGTCATAGTTTCTTTGTATGTGAACATCGCATTCTATGAATATCTTAATGTAATATTTTTAACCTATCTATAGCCTACATAGAAGGTCAAATAGGTTATAGTAGATTTAGGACATTGTATTCACTGATGCATATTTTGTATTCTAAAATGGATATTTGAAAGCTACATGAATTTTTTCGGGGCATCCAAGTTTGGGAGGTTTATAGAATAATGTATTCAACTTTTACTTAAGTGCAAGTGTGCTCATTTGTACAGTAAATACTACAATTTCATGTTTTTATGTATATGTTTTCTTTATTGTTATATTTTTTGACAAAAGTAACTAAATGTAAAAATTAGAAACTTCTCAGCTGTGCTTAAATTTTTTTGTGAAAATACAATTAATAATTTTAGAATTATAATCAACAATGCTTTCTATAATTTCACAGAAACGGGTTGGTGCAATGCACACATAAGGTTAATTATTAACATTAATGTGGTGAAATTTAAAGATCATACAGCTGTGAGACTTATAAGAAACTTGTAAATAAATTTCAACTGTATTATGACCCTTTAAAATATATAATGAAATGGAATATGATCCCCCAATTATAATACTACTTTCAAATTTTTGCATTATATTTACTTAAGTTTAGGAACTTCAGAATCCTATGTTTGGGTATTGGTTGGACAGTTTAATCATATTCTGTATAGGAAGGTCATGTAGAGTTAATTTTATAAGGTTACTACAACAGAAGGATTACTACCAAAGCCCACAGTCAGCCATAGATAGCAAACAGCAGTCTAAACCTTGTACATTGTTGCTTTACCCCTTGTTCAACTGTTTTTCACCATTGTGTGAAAGATAGTTGGAGAGACGGAATATCCTCAACATGCTTTGGTGCTATCATGGCAGTTATCTTTCTGCAGTAATATTTTTTGCCTTGTTCTGCAATGCGTATAATTTCCATTGTATATTTACGATATACTGCAGAAATTTAATTTTGTATATGTGTGCATACATACATACATACATACATTGTTAGTTGTGTGGCCTTTTTGCTTTTGTTATAGATACCTAATAACATTTTTTGCACATTGCCTTAACTAAATACATAAACATATAGTATTTTATATTTACTTATGATACATCTCATTAGCCTTTGCTTTAATTTCTATCAAAGGATATTTAATTAAAGCTTTTTCATTACTCAGCATGCAGCACGAGACGAAACTGCTCGTGCTGAGGAAAGCCGAGGAGTGATTGAATTCCATGTAGTAGGTAACTCATTAACAAGAAAAGTCAGTAAGGAGTCCTTAATCTGGTTGGTTGGTCTGCAAAACGTGTTCTCACACCAGCTTCCACGTATGCCAAAAGAGTACATAACCAGATTGGTATTTGACCCGTAAGTATCCCAGACTTTGAAGTTTAAACTGAAGTGATTTTGATTAAAATGAAACTGTGTTGCTTTCTAATTAATAATGATAAGACAATTCATTTAATTTTTCAGAAATGCCGGGTAACCTAGGACATTGTTCATATTAAATTTCTCTCAAAACTTGAGTAGTCTGAAAGTATTTTATGCATTATGGCAATTAAAAATATGAGTTTTTTTATGATACTGCCATTGTTATTTTTTATTTTATTTTTCTGATACAAAACATAGAGTGAATCTGCATCCCAAAGCCAAAATATGTAATTTGCAAATATAAACTGAAATACTAGTTATCTCTCTGATACCTTCTTAGCAAGCCAAAGTACATAACAATGAGAATGTACAATGGGTGCAGTTGACTTTTATTGGGTATTTAAATCTCTCAGTTTGTAGTTTAAAATTTGCTATAATGAAAACTAGTTTGTTTTTACTTCCTTTTTTTTTTCATATTTCACACACACAGTGGGATAAAATTACAGTGACGGCATGAAAATCAATATTTAAAAGTATTGAAAAAGAAGAAACTGTGTTGAGAATTTTAGCTAATGAATGTTGAGCTACTTATTGTTCACTAAGCAAAAATAATAAAATAATTGGATGTGTTATCTTCAGTTACTGTATTGTCTTTATTTTGTGATATTTATTTTCTTGGTTTCATCTTATCTCATATGTATAGTGTGTGTGTAGATATAATATATATATATATATACATATGTGTGTGTATGAATTAATACCCTCATGTCCAGTCCTTCTCTGTTCACCTGTAAATGATCCTATTATGATTGCTCTTTATAACTTTCTCTCACAGAAAACACAAGACTCTAGCCTTGATCAAAGATGGCCGTGTGATTGGTGGAATATGTTTCCGTATGTTCCCCACTCAAGGATTTTCTGAGATTGTATTCTGTGCCGTAACTTCAAATGAACAAGTTAAAGTAAGGAATTTCATGTGTGTATACGTCTTTCATATATAAGCAAAACAGAACTTGTTTTAGGATGCCTATTGAAAATTTGAAAGTTGCAGAAACCCAAGTACTTGGTGTCTTCTGAACAGTAGATATTTGGTGATATAATATTGAATTTGTAATAACCATATATTTTTTTCTGCAATGACTGACAACTTTATTTGGACACCAGCACAGAAGCATACATGCATTTATAAAATTTTATTTGCATATGCAAAAATAAACTGATATTGAACTCTATAAATTCAAAGATGAAGTTATATCATGATTAGTTTGAAAGACAGTGGATAAGAACAAGGATCTTTCTCAAAGGGAACATGATAGTGGATGGTGTCTGTTGAGCAGCAGCATTGTTATTAGATACCTTTTGTTTTCCCAACTGTTCATAAACATTTGTCAAGAAAGTTTGCAGTTAGTAGCAGTTGAAGAAAAGGGTTACATCTTTCACTAGATAACTGCTGGTGATTAACCAAGTGAAAAAGACAAAAGATGACAACCTGTGTCCTGATTCCTTTAACAATGATAGGGATTTAACTTTCTTCAACCTTACTTTGAGAATGATATTGAAAAAAACAAGTGATATGGTAACTTACAAACAGGCTGAAAGTTACTGGCTTTATTGATGCTTAGAGCATAATCAGTGGACTGGACAATTAAGGAATGAAAGCATATGATATGGCATGATGAATCACATGTTTTAACTTTTTAAGTAGTTATGATGAAGCAAAAATATTGAAAAAAAACATTTTGTGTTATTTAAACAGTGCCATCTGCTAGAGGTGATATAATGGTGTGAGAAACTTCTAAATTATTATACTGGAAGAGCCCCTCAGGATGGAAATGCAGAATTGTGGGTTGAACACACCTGACAACAACATTCACATACAATCTTGAATGTTTTTTTTCCTTCTAAAGAAGCAAGAAGATTCAGCCCTTGCTATAAGGTTTAGCAATCCATCATGCTCTCTTTATTTGAGATTGGTTCAGAAAGCTCAACAATGGCTTCAAATCATGGTGCACATTTTCTCATTGAGTATTATTGGAATGAACTTGGATGTTGCATTTGCCACTATAATCTTCTGATAATCTGTAAACCATTTAAAGAACATACAGCTGAAAGAGTTGGTTGAAATAGAATAAAACATCTGGCATTTTATATATTTTGTGTCATGCTAAATCTAGGTGAAAATCAGTTCATCCCAGTATTAGATAGGAGTATAAGTTTGGCTAATCAGTGTGACAAACATATTCCAGCAGAAGGTTATGAAATTAAACTTAAGTTACTGTGATGTATCCAGTATTAGATAGGAGTATAAGTTTGGCTAATCAGTGTGACAAACATATTCCAGCAGAAGGTTATGAAATTAAACTGTGATGTATTTTGGAAGTAAAAAAGTTGTCTGTTACGTATTACAGTGTGAGGAATGTAGCTTAGTTATATTAACCTCAGGCAACAAGTAATAGCTAAATGCAAAATTTTATGTTCTCAGATAATATTTTGCAAAATTCATAAAGCAACAAATTACCCTTAAGCATTCAGATAGTTAATATATATATTTTTTTTTACCAGGGATATGGAACACACCTCATGAATCATCTAAAGGATTATCACATACGTCACAATATTATACACTTCCTAACCTTTGCAGATGAATTTGCTATTGGCTACTTTAGGAAGCAGGTATGTTTTTGGTTATATCTTACATAAAAACTTGGGTTCTTGAGTATACGACTTTCATCCATAGAATTAGTGTTCTCATATGTCAGAGTCCAAGGTTTTGGCTAGTTTTTAGGTGTTACTGACTTTTGAATATAGTGTAGCTATTTTAAAGAAAAATAGACACATTAAATATATTTAGATTATTTTTCTAGATTAAAATAAGACATTCTAAATAAAACATTTTGTTTATGCTTAGTTTTCACTTTTTTGATATCATTAAATTTATTAAGTTTACTTTCACTGTACATCTCTTGGAGATTTACAAACTTATTTCATATACAAGATGGCCATGATGTCTTTCAAACATTGCGAATTTCTCTCATAAAAGGCTAGTGTGCAAAGATGATTGCTACTGCTTAACTAAAGTTGTCAGCAGTTTTATTTTATGGTGAACATATTTGTATTTTCTCTGTACGTATTAGATCTGAGTTAATATATAATGATTTTAATGATATTTCTCATTTTATCTCCCAACAGAAAAGGTTTGTGGAGGTGGGGGGAATATAATAGTGTTGTTGCCCTCACATCCATCTAGACATGAACCTTTTTAATCAAACTTTGTAAGTCACTTTCCTTAAAACTGGGAAAAAATCTCTTACTGATTTTGATGTTAAAAGGCCTAAGGTAAAGGTCACCATTTCAAAAATAGAAATTTGTTTCAGTGTATAAAAAAAAAAGAAACGTAACCACAAAATACACAAACCATATTTATCAACACACCAGAAAATCGAGTAGTTGAAAGCTATTTTTTGTCTGTGTGTTTAATATTTAATTTGAGCAAGTTGCTTTTTGTATCTTATTTTATTAACATTATTATTATTCTTTCATTAATCATATTGGTTTTTCATCTGAGCTACAAGAAGGTTCATGTGTGTTCTAAGTGATATCAAGTCAAAGCATTTATCTGTAACTTTGAGTTAACTGTCAATATAAATATTACTTATTGTCCAAGAACAGCCACCAAAATCTGTATTAATGATGTTGAATTAATTTTGAATCTAGTAAAAGTTCATACATTAATGGAGGTTTTATGAGCAAATGAATGTTGTTCTGTCTTAGCTTTAACTCTCTCAATATGGGCTCGTTCGATTTCACAAACCATGTGACCTCTTTGTACTCATATAAAGTCTTTATAGATTTGATACTACCTACTTTTAATATAGTATGTATATCTTCCCAAAATGTGGCAGTCTATCAGTAAACATTACAAGTCTTTAACATACAAAAATGTATATTTTTAGTGAAGTATTTTTAATAAACTAAAGATTTATCCTTGAATATATCGAGTATTTGTTTTGAATAGTCCATGTGCAAAGTGATTAAAAATACTTTTCTTCATTTCAAAAATCTTGGATTTCATTTATGTAATCTCTAAACCTCCTAAATGTGTTTCAAGTGTTTGTTTTCAGTAAAACTTTATATTTTATCTCTTATTTTCTCTACCCTTACTCGATACAAGATTGATCAACTTGACCAACCTTGTAACCACCAAGAAAAATCTAAATAAATCGAAATTACCCTTTTTTCTTTCTAAAATGACTTCAAATTGTAACATGAAACCACATTTGTTTATCCTAAGTAGCTTTAAACTTGTAACAATATACATCTATTTATACTTAAATTTTATTGTTTTATTGCCCTTTGAACGTGTGTAACTACTATTCATGCCATTATAAGTTATAACTCATTTGGGGAACGTGGAGCTCACGTTACGCTATCGAATTACACTATCCATGACTTGCTCATGTGCGTGACTCTTGAAATATTTCTATTATATCATAATTATTTATTTTACCTAATCTAACCTTAAATAATCTAAAGAGATCCTTATTTTTACATCTTAGTTACTTTTATAATAATAAATAAAGAATAAACATGAAAAACAAGAAATAAAGTACTTACCTGGGTCATTGTTTTTTTTTTCTGTCGACTGTCAATGACACTTAACCCTACTTTTTTATATTAATGGTAGTAATGCATTAAATAATGCACCAAAGAACAAAAGCAGATAATTTCTTTTTAACTATCACAATTTTTGTGGCTTTCTAACTGTGACAAGAGCCGTTACAAATTCATCTAAACTAGTTGTTATCTTTCTCGTAGGAACAAAGCTTGTACTAAAAAGAAATTGACAATTCTCTGTTCAGAACACAGCATGATATAATGTGTCATTTGATGAAAACCTTGGCTTTCTATTAGTTATGGGTAATGTAGAATTAAATGTAAGAGAGAACTATTAACAAATCCTGAAAGAGAGGATGTGACAGGTGGGTGTGGCAAAAGGGGGTCTGATTTTCAGTTTGATAGCTCTGTAACCAAACAAAATTGAAGGCTATAACAATTATGGTTTATCTGAGCAATGATGATTTTCTAGTGAGTAATTTACGTTAAATTTCATACTTATTGGAGGGGTGGTGAATAAAATAGAGAAGAGAGAATCCCTAGAGAAAATGTGTCACCTTTCTCACGCTAGGAGAAATTCAGATTTTTTTTAGATATTGCCTTATAAAATTAAGAACTTAGGACTTACATACTATTGAAATATGGATTATTAGCTATGATTTTATGCTATACTGATTGGTATAACATAAAAGTAGTTTAATAAAATTTTGAATGTAAGCCAATAAAACCTTGTGACATGCAGTAAATGATGTCCAGGCAGAGAGGGTTAGAGGTTTTATGAATTATATAATTGTAAACCTTTTTGTTTTCTTTTTTTTAGTATGATATTTTTATCTTTTTGCCAACAGGGGTATGGATAAGTCATGCATCAGTTGTTTTACTATCAGTAACAATAATTTTTATTTTTCATTTTACATATTTTCTGTAAAATAGGATGCTATAACATGTAATGATCATTTATTTCTTAACATTATTTTACTGATCACAAGCAGGCTGTGTGTTTTTTTTTGTTTTATAACATACACTTGAACCTTTTTTCTTAATTCTTTGTCACTGTGTAATTTTCTGTTATCTGTGTTGGGCCATAGTCAACTTTTTGATGTTCTCACAAAGACTGTTGGTTAAGTTTGCCAGAATTTCTAACTAACTTCAGAGTTTAGATATCGGCTATTCTCAAATGTGTACATGTTTACTTCACCCCTACTTGAACTGTGGAGTACAATTTGTAAAGTGATATTAAACCACAAGTTCCAGGCATTAAAGATGGGTAAATAGATATCAAAAGTACATCATTAAAAACAACATACAGATAGATAATTTCTAAAGATTGACACACAAGAATTCATTCAACACTTTTGTTATTTTACCTTTATTTTCTCATATATATTTTAAGAAATTTAATGAAGTATCCATATCTGCCTTTTAAAAGACTCAGTTTATACATGATAGGTTAGTAACTTGCTTTATTGGAAACTAATCCATATAAGTATTACCTTAGTATTTCTTGAAATGACTAGCTTGTGTGTAACTGGTTTAACTATTGCAAGTATAAACACTTGTACATAGTATTATTTTCAATATTTCATGAAATGACCAGTGTATATGTTAACTGCTCTAAAATTTTGGCCAGTGGAACATGAATTAATTAAAATGGCAAAAGTCCAGTGTTTACTGGTCATCCTAGTAGTAAATAATGTGAATATTTAGTGCCCAAAATAGCCTAGAATGTACCAGAAAGCATGTAGATCCCTCTGACTTCAGAGGTTTAGGCACCATCCTGACCCCCAACCTTTATGGATTCAGATCCAGATCTAGCCAGAAGTTCCATTTCCCGTTCTGACTACTGAATTATAGTCTATATTTAACAAGAATATACTCATGCAATCAGAAGATTTGAAATATTTGTATGTAAACTTTAATAAATCATATTGTAGAACTATTCATTACTAGCAATACAACTTAAGATTAATTGTATACTATAGGTATTGTAAAAGACAGCATGTTTCAAATAATCAAAATACTTAGTGTGTTTGTCTATATTTTTTTATGTGGAAAAGTAACATTAATCAGCATTTCTGTTTGTCTTAAACAGTTAAGGAATTTGTTCTTATCATCTCTTTAGGGATTTTCCAAAGATATTAAACTTCCTAAAGCAGCATATATAGGCTTCATCAAGGATTATGAAGGAGCAACTTTAATGGGTTGTGAATTGAATCCTCGAATTGTGTATACTGAATTTTCATGTGTCATACGGAAACAGAAAGAGGTGAGGATCTTGTGAACATTGTGTGATGTCAAAAGAAGTTCTCTTGAGTCCAACATTCTTATATAAATAATGGATATTTTTCTTGGAGTTCAGTATTGAACTTTATTATGAGATAGCTGAATTTGTTGTATTGTTATATTTTAGTACTTATTAAAACATGTGTTGTCATATTACATTATGTGTAGGACTATTAAGGTAAGGAATTGGCTTCACTAGAAGATTTTTACTCTTGGTTCAGGAAGACATAGTTTTAGGTGTGCCATTTTATTTGGTATAACAGTCAAAGGATATTTAAATTCATTGAATATATATAATAATTTTGTGAAGATGATAAATGTATTAACTACATCAGCTAATCACTGACTTGTCAACATTAAAATGAACTACTGATAATTTAATGTTCCATGTAACAAAAATGTATGCTCCCATTGACTTGATGGTAATAAACCACAATTAATGCTATAAAGTGTAAACGATATTACACTTGTTACTTTCACTAGGGTGAAAGATTACCTCTGATAAAACTACTAACAGCAATGTTTCTGCAAGTTGCTCATTTATATTCTTCAAAAAATTCATTTTTCGTGACCATGACCTGGACAATTTATTGAAAACAACTGAAATGGATCAAATGGAATGCAGTTTTCAAATACTGTATGACTGAATAGGTACTACACAATGTTTGAAGTGTAAAAAGTAGTACATACCATGTTAGTGTGACTGTTTGTGTAAGGTTATTGATCTTTTCAACTTGTTAGTTCGAGTTATATTCCAGTAACAAGTATTGAACCATTTAGAATGTAGTGCCAAGTTTCACATGATAGGATGCTAAAAACAGACATTTTCCATTGCTCAGACTCATGAAATGCCTTTTTTTTTCAGTGTATTGATGTCTTAATTTTTTATACATGCATCTATATTATGGCATTGGCAGGCATTTAGTTTTGATATGAGAAAGCTGTAAGGGCTTGAAATGATAAAAGCTAATATATATGTTGTGAGCAGTCACTCTCGTATCATACTATTAACTTTTTTACGTGTGCTGGTGTGTGAAGTAATTTTAAGTTTGCAGTATTTTCTCTCAGAAATTACTTTTGAAGGTTTATTCATGTATTCAGAGGCTAAACTTTGTACACTGCCCCTGATTCAGATGAGCAGGATGTAATTATTTTTCTTTCTAAAAGATACAAAATGTGAAATGTTATATTTTTTATGAAGTAATAATTTATAATCTCTAACTTTTGTAAAGCTAGAAGGTAAAATGCCATTTATTTTTGTATGCTAAGTAAACATTGAAAGTGGACCTGGAGAGTAAAGTGTCATTTATTTATTTTTTCATGCTAAGGTACAATTTGCTTCAAACAACCAGTAGCCTCCCCAGTGGCACTTACAACTTACAATGCTTGAAACTGGGTTTCAATACCTGTGGTTGGCAGAGCACAGATAGCCCTTTGTGTAGCTTTGTGCTTAACTACAAACAAACAAACAAACATTAACCTGCAAAGCTGCACTGTAGTGCATTTTAATAATAAAATGCTTCGTATTGCAAAGAAAGTTCTCTCTACCTCTAATTTACTTGACAAGCTCTCCCCAGTTCTAAATGAAAATGGATGATGTTCAAGAATTCCCCCATGTTCACAAGCAGGCTTGGAATGCTCAAGTATCAGTACATCTTTAGTGCGGATATATTGGAAATAATAAATATTTATATAGTGCAATTACATAAAACAGTAGTCTGTTGCCAAAAGTCATTATAGTTACATGTCATGGAGGATTTACAAGACATTGGCACTTAGCAGATTACATGTCATGGAGGATGCATAAGACACTGGCACTTGGTGGGTTACATGTCATGGATGATGCACGAGGCACTGACACTTGGTGGATTACATGACATGCATGGTGAACAAGGCACTGGCACTTGGTGGGCTACATTTCATGAAAGATACTAACAGTAAAGATACAGGCAAGTAGTTTACAAGATAATTGGTAGTGGGTTAAATAGTTCTAACACCTCAACACCAAGCATTATCCACATTTAATAAACATAAAATTACAACTGGTTCTCTATTTCGAAAGCAGAAACAAAGAAATCTGATGGGAAGTGCAGAATTAGCCATCTTTCAAGCATAAGTTTTTTAACTGTCTGTCACAATTGAAATCTCTACTCAGGATTTGAAACAAAGAAAAGAAACCCTCCTAAAAGTTATTTTAAAAAAATCTTATAACAGAAAATGATAATATTTTATATTCTGTGTATGGGTTTTATGCTGAATAAAAGTTGTAAATCCGAGAAGCTTGACGGTCTGAATACATCATGATTAATCCTGGCTAAGTTCCCAGTGGAAATCACTCAACATGCCAAAGCATGTTATACCACCAGGAGTCAATCCAGGTGGCAGCATCAAGCCAGCATTATCTAAGATGGGTACACCATGTCTGAAACCATACAGGTTTTTGAAGTGTCGTATTGAACAAGTTAATGTTATTGTTTAAAATGCACAACTGTAGGTAAAGTATCCAACTGGATGAACGTGGAGAGCCTACTCAGCATTATCTTGAAACATAATATGTGCCACTGCACGGAAGTTTGAGAAAATTTCTGCATGATTTTCATGAATATATTTTTATAGAAGCACAAGGGTATAAAGTATCCTCATTTGTTTATATATTTATTTAAATTATTACAACATAACCTCAGTAAGTGTTAATTTTAAAATATAAAAAACAATAATAGCAGGGAAGATTACGTAGTGCAATGCATTTGCTGCTGCAAGTTAATCACATATCTATCAAGCAAAAAGTGTGAACAAAGTACATAATTGGTCTGTTAAAGATAGATAATTAGATTGTATATTTACTGAATGTTCAGGGTGTTTGTCCAAGGAATGATGACTATAATTCTGAATCTACTTGGTGTATGAAATGTGGCTGAATGTTCAAGGGGTTTGTCCAATGGACCAACCCTGTATCAGGAAAGGAATGATGACTATAATTCTGAATCTACTTTGTGTATGAAATGTGGCTGAATGTTCAAGGGGTTTGTCCAATGGACCAACCCTGTATCAGAAAAGAAATGATGAATATAATCTTGAATCTACTTGGTGTATGAAATGTGGCTGAATGTTCAAGGGGTTTGTCCAATGGACCATCCCTGTATCAGAAGAGGAATGATGAATATAATTCTGAATTTACTTGGTGTATGAAATGTGGCTGAATGTTCAAGGGGTTTGTCCAATGGACCAATCCTGTATCAGAGAAGGAATGATGACTATAATTCTGAGTCTATTTGGTGTGTGAAATGTGGCAAGCCTTCAGTCAAATGTACAAGTTTGTTATACACAAAAAATCAGATGTATTACAAATATTTGTATACTCAAGATATATCAATGAATTGCTGATTCCAGGCTGACTCAGACAAGTCAGAGTGCGAGGTGATGTTCATGTGAAAAATATAAATACTTTTGCTATTTATACAATTTGCATATTGCAGCTGCATAGCCTCAAGAACCTTTGAAATACACATTTCAGTTTATTTTTCTGTATACTGTATCTGGTATTTACTCTTTTCTAACCAGAACTGTTGCTAAATTAAACCAAACAAAAATAAACATGTAACATTATATTACAATACAAGTTTGCCCCTGAAGAAGAAAGGTCCACCTTTTGAATGCTCTCGGGTTATAGGGTTTTTTATTCATTACAATACTGTGCATATTCAGTGTAATCTACATTAACCCTGTATGCATGGGTGGTAGTCAAAGTGTGAATGTCACAATATTTTAAAGAGTGCCATTCAACACAGTATTATGTATTTGATGTCAGATTTATCAATAATTCCTTTTACCATACTTTGATCATTGAAATCAAACAAATTGTTTACAGTTCACCGTTATGTGAGACCTATTTTGTTTATTTACTTTGCTCTTTCAAGCAGCACTGATAAACTGTGAATTCAGCAAAACTAGTCTACTGCAGCAGAAGTAGTGAATTAAAGAATAAATTAGGCCTGTGTATCATGTTTTCTTCACTAAAATTCATGTTTTGGTGAGGAAAAGAAATGTACAAATAAAATGTATATGTTATATTATCCATCAGATTTTTAGTTAAGTCCCAAATAATTAAGTGTTACTCTGCTTTTATAAAATTTGTATACAGTTCTTTAGATTTCACACTTTATCAATACATTTATAACAATGTTATCTGTATTGTTAATGATAAAAGAGGATACCTTATTTTAGTTAAGCTTTTTTTTTGTTTCATCCACAACTATTGATTTAAGCAAGAGCATAACACACAAAAAAAAATGTATATTTTGCTAAGTCAAAGTTAAAAGATTAGTCTTCTGGAAAATGTGAAGTTCCTTATCAAGTTAATAACAAGACACATTTTGATCAGCCACTTTTATTTTGATAAGATTCTGTAGTCCAAGCAATATTGAATTTTGTAAGCTATTTTATAGATGCAATATCCTGTTCTCTTATATCCTCTTGCACAAATGGTGAAACATTTTTTAAGACATGGCATTAAAATAGCTGTGCTATGTAAACACAATGGTTTACCCACAGATGTTCTGAAATAAGTTATTGAGTATTAGTAATAAAGTTAAATAATTTATATTACAGACAGTTTAAAACTTAACATTTAATTATACATGTGTCCATTACGAATAATAGTTTGTACTTGTTAAGGAACATATTTATCTTCTTACAGATAATTAAAAAACTGATAGAGAAACAACAGGAGGCAATGCAAAAAGTCTATCCTGGTTTGACCTGTTTCAAAGATGGAGTGAGAGAGATACCAGTTGAAAGTATACCTGGAATAAGTATGTAGTATTTACTACTGAATTGTTTTAGCTTCACACCATCAGATAAATTTTCTGTCAACTTGAAAAACTTTATTAGAAGTTTGATATATACATCTTTAATTGCAAGTTCTCAAGTCTTGGCAGTATGGACTGGCAAAGTCACTAGTCAATTTTTGTAGATATGAAATAAAAAAACATTAAATACAATATAATCAATCAACAAAAGCATTGACTTTTGTTAAATTAAGTAAGTTTATAGCTTTATAAAAAATTATATTGATCATTTTTATCGATTGATAAAAGTTTAATATGGATCTATGGTTGGGAACTACTATGATAGATGATTGAATCTTGCTTACTAGAGTAATGCTGAGCTGTAATGTAATGTACTTGTTTTTAAATAGCTTTTTTTATATATGGAAACTTTCGAAGTTATGGAGCTGTCAATGACAATCGGAGTTTAACAGCTGTTCTGGGATAAAAGTAGAAGAACTTTATTTATTTGTATATTAATTGCAAAGGAATTTTCAGTAAATTAGAAGAGCATTAGTAAGTTTTAATTATGTCACAAATTATGCATGATGTGCATAGTCTGTTAGACTTTTCACTAACTGTTGTAACTGATTGTAAATTGTAATAAGCAAGCAGTTAAAGAAGGTCATTAAAAATGATATTAAACTATTGTTATATTTAATTGCATGAATGTGCTAAAATCCTGCAGTTAAGCCTATGCTCTCAGGATTAAGGGAGCAGATTGTGTATATTAGCAGATTCTATTTGAGTATAGTAGTTCATTCTACCTTAAATTACTAAAACCATTAACTTAAAGCTTGAAGGCTAGCAGTACTTAATTTCACTGAAAGACAGCACAGCATGACAGACCGACCTCTCCTGCTTTGGTCAAGATGCAGTTTATCACAAAAGTGTGTTTAAGTTGACCTTTCTATAGAGTTTTTCTTTTAATATGAAAGATACTGATAACTGATGATTATATATATAAATTGGTTTCAAGAATTTAATGTGTAACTGTGTTAACAATTAAATTAGGAACAGAAATAGATGACTTAATAAAATAAAGATGATGCAAGTTGTTTGAATTTTCTGTTTAGTCATGTGAAACTATTATTTTACTACCAACATGGCTTTTAGAGCACTTTATCATCACTTATGTTCCTGATGATATTCCTACTTCTTAAGATAGTTCTCACTTCATTTTCCTTACAAACAACACCAGCAACATTACTTTTTTGTTTTGTTTTCTAACTCTGATGACTGTTCCTAGGATATTGTATTTGTATGGCACTCAATGGCACATCCTTAACTTGGATGATTTTAAAAACAAATCCAGACAACTAGGCCAGAAACAAAAAGAGATGTTGTGTTTAAAGGATTGACAAATAGAAATGGAATACAAACTACAATTCAGAAAATTAAAAGTGGCCATAGTAAGATACTTAGATAGATGTCTGTAGAGGTAGAACTTGCTGAAATAGTTTAGGATACACTGTCTGTAATTCGATTTAAAGCATTGGCAAGCATCACATGTGAAATTGAATTAGAAATGAAAAGTAGAAGTAATAAAAATTAGAGCTAAGACAATGAGGGAAAGATACAAGTGTTTGAGCTCATAATGTCCCACATCTAAGATTACTTCCCATCTGTGGCAGATCTGAGAAGGTAGTTGTTCCTAAGGAAACAGAAAGCAGGGTATGAGAATTAAAAAGCAGACTATTTCAAATGAACCACTTTGGGTGGTAAATACATTTTGTCTTGATATTAATACTCCTTCAGTATATTACTTTCTTTGATTTATGTTTGGACCTATTAAAGACAAGGTGTTTTTGTTTCTATTTGCATTAAAAATTGACTGTAGTATGAACACCTTTCCTTTCATTTTTCTTTCTCAGAAGAAACAGGATGGAAACCTGAAAAAAAAAAGTAAGTGTATGCACTATTTGTGTTTGTTGTAATTAATAAAACAAATCATTTTAATATAAATATAAGTATATATACATACACACATAAGGGTTGTTGGTAGTTGCACATTACTTGTAAGTCCTCATCAACATTCTATTTTCTGATTTTCATGACAATTTAAAGCGAGTACTGTAGCTATATTATGCAAGTAATTCTTGTAATAAAAGCAAAAAAAGAAAATTAATATGGGGTATTGAGTCTGTTTTACTTCACCATATAGTAACCTAAATGATTTTAGGTATGTGAATAATGTTATAACATTCCATCAAACTCATCACTTGATATTATACAGTGGACCAACTGTTTAATTATTGTGTGTGTGTGTGTTAAAGGAAAATGCTTAATACAATTGAAGAACAATACCTTCAATATCTATAGGATTTTACCTCAAATTTTTTAAACAATGTTAAATTTTTTGATTCTAAATACTTTATCTATACATTTATTAACATAAAGTGGTGTATTCAAGTGTTTTACATTCACATAAAAGAAACCTATCATTCTATAGGTATTTGAAGAATGCTACAAGTTCTTCAACAAATGTTTAAACAACTCTATCTATTCAATAAAAAATAATATTTACTGTATGTAGATTATAAAAATCTACTAAGTAAACAAGAGTATTCCAAATTGCACTTGGTTTATACTTTATTAACTTGTAGATTTTTCTAGTTTCACAACTGATCAGACCTTTTAGCCTTTTTGAGATATCCAGATAGCATTAAAATATTTTGTAACAGTATTACAGTTATTAAAAAGTCATCTTACTTATTAATATAAAATAAAGAGCATGGTCAAATTATCCATGACTACCATATTAAAACTAAAATAAGACAAAGTGGAATCACAATTAGAAAATATTATTAAATGTTTATGAAAGAAGCATTCAAAGCTGAAATTTTATTTTATTTTATTAGCAGTTTAATAGATGATGGATTAATATGCAGACCTGCCAACTCTTATGCTTTTAGGCATAACTGTTCCTTTTTTTTTCATTTTACCCCTGTATGAATTGTTGTGTTATTTTATGATTTTATGTGAAATTCCAAAATTTTTCCATCAATCTTTTTTTCTTCTAATAATTTTCCAGGATTAATTCACCACTCTTTGGTTTGTGTCTCATTCTTATAAATGCTCGAAATAGTCTATTAAAAACATGTGTAAGTAGTAAGTGTCTAGCGTGTGCTGATAATTTTTTGAGAGGAAAATGGTGGTTCTGCTTCTTCCACAATGACTCCAACAAAGAAAAGTTTATAGTGAGCAGAAGTTCGTTGATATTGTTTCATCCTCAAAGAGTATGAAATACGCAAGATGTACAATTTGTGTTTATGATTCCTCCATTGCTTGTAGAGGTGAGAATGACATCAAAAAACATCTCAACACTACTAAACACCAGCAAAATTGATTGAGGCCATCTGAAGTTAATAACTGGGTTCATAAAACCCAATACCAAATCAGAAAATGATATGATCAGAGAGGAATGTTTATTCACCTCCTTCATTGTGGAATACAATCTTCCGATCTTTTGTAGAGGTGAGAATGACATCAAAAAACATCTCAACACTACTAAACACCAGCAAAATTGATTGAGATTATCTGGAATTAATAACTGGGCTCATTTTTCATAAAACCCAATACCAAATCAGAAAAGGATATGATCAGAGAGGAATGTTTATTCACCTCCTTTATTGTGGAATACAATTTTTCAGTGGTGGTTTTGGACTATGCTTCAAAAACTTTTACCAGAATATTTTTCGATTTGGAAATCACTAAAAGATATGGATGCTCTAGAACTAAAACCCCTGCAGTAGTTGGAGAAATGGCCAGCAGTGCAACTGAGTGAATTATGAGTAACATTAAAGCTAGGGTTTTCATCTTGTCCACTGATGTCAGTAATGATAATGACAGTCAACTATACTCTATTATAATGTCATACTTCAAGAACAACAAGGAAAAGGTACTAATTGTATTACTGTGTAATCCCTATTTAATTGGATAATCAATGGGAGAGAAGAAGAATTGTGTAGCATTAGCTGTTGATAACACAAATATGATGAAAGGGAGAGAAAAAAAAAAGGAGTTGCAGGTTATCTTCTGAATCTTAACCCTGAAATGGTGATTAGGGGATGCCCATGTCACCTCTTTCATTTGGCAGCAGAAAAAGCAGCCAAGAAGTTGTAATATTAGTTGGATGAAATTCTTGTTGACATTTATTGCTATTTGGACGAGAGTGCAAATAATAAACAAGAACTTAGAGAACTCTGGAATCTATGTGATGTGAAGCATGTGTGAACATACTGTCTCTTGGAAAATACTTATAGGTTAATTGAGCAGTGGAGACCTATGAAGCAATACTTTGCAAACAAACATGATGAAAAAAAAAAGATGAAGAAAACAAAAAATCCACGTGAAGACAAAATCTGTTCCATACAAATCAGCAGTATCAGTTGAGAAAGAGATTTTTTTTTTATAAAAGAGTTAGCACAAAGGATCAAATATAAAGTGTAATAGTTAGAATCTCCAAAAATGGCAATGTAAGGTGAAAGAAGAGGTAACTTACCACTGAGAAAGAGTGTGATTGTTTAAAAAAATGCAAAGAAAAACTTTCCAAGCAAAGGCAGTCTGTAAATGTGTTTCCTGGGCAAGGATCTGGATCTTCTATGGATGGTTCCTGTAGGAAAATAGCAGACAAAATTGCAAAGGCAAGTGAGAAGGTATAGGACACACCTGACAACAAATCATCAGGAAAACCTTACTTGCAAGAGTAAAGACTTTACAAGTTACTTACATCAAGTAGATGAATATGCATTGTTTCTGAATAATTGTATTCAAATCTTTGACAAGTATAATATGAAACTACAGTCGGAGGACCCACTCATCCATTGCTTGCAGAGAATCCTGTTTGCTTTATTCAAGGATTTGTTAAGCATACTTGTGACACCACATGCAATTTCAAATTGTTCAAATATTTTGGATTTGAATTTCAAAGACAGAAAACTTCAATTAAAAAAAAAGAACTTGGTAATTGATTATGAAAGTTGTTCTTTGGAATTGGTAAAATAATTTGTTGGAAAACTCAAACTATTCATTGCAAGGGATGAACCTTGGGTCAGTATAATGAATTGTCTTCAGCAGCAATTTCTCACCTACTGATCCATTGACTGATGTAGATCTGTGAGCCAGCAGAGAAGTGTTGGTATAGTATTGGAAAAATGAAAGATGAGCTGGGCAACTTTAAATACGATAAACTTTCCAAAGTAATGAAGTCTATTCTTATAATACCATACAGCAATGCAGGTTGTGAGAGGGTTTTCTCACTTGTTTGCAAAAACAGGATAGTCTTTCGAGGATCATTGTCAAACTTCAGATGGAGATGGCACAAAAACCATGTTTCTTCCAAGAATTTACAAACAATTTCCTAAAGAAAGACAAGAGTACTACTTACAGGGCTCTTATTCAGCAGTACACTGTAATTAGTAAGTATTAAATAAAACATAATTAGTAGTGACACCATTTCCATTTTTTTTTGCTTGTCCTGGAAGGAATTACTGTCTTTCAAAATTTAATGTTGGCAGGTCTGAATATGTGTAACATCGTTATAATGATAGCTGAGGTTAAGTAATAAGAATCTTCCATTTACAATTTAGTCAATTACCAATGATGATTTCCTTTCCTTTATTAATATTAACTAGTAAACAGTTTGCAACTCAAATGGCATAATTTTGTATTTAATAAAAAAGTAGCTTGTTTTTGAAAAGTGAATTGATAAATAAATAGTAATAACTTTTTTCCACTTAAAAACTTGAAGCATCAGCCATGTCTTCTCATGTTTGTTTTACAAATTGCAAATGATGTTGGAATATATATATGGCAAAGTGCAGCAACTTTAGTGTTGTAGAACTAGTTTATGATGTTTGAATTTTATGTATAATGTATACATATATATATATTTGTATTAAATGTACAGTAAACATCCAACTGTCTGTACTGATTGAACACTGTCTACTATTACAGCTGAAATATTCAGCCAAAACTAAATGTTGGAATTTAAAGTGTAGAGAAGGTATTTTTTGTAAAGATGAAGAAGGTTTTATTGAGTAAAGACACGTATGTTTGTGTACATTCGTTAGTTTATGAATTATAAAATAATTACTCAAGGAAAAATGTTTTACCATTAATCCCTTAAGTAGAAGTGCTTTAGCAAAGTAATATTACTTCTGTTTTGAATTAATTAGGTTCTTTTCATTTTTAAGTGTTTCAAACTCCTTTGAAATATGCCTTTCACTTCACAGTGTAGTAAAGCAAGAACAGCTAGATCCTGAACAGCTATACCAGACATTAAAGACAATTTTAACACAAATCAAGGTAAGTGAAAGTGAATCCAATTCCTCTAAAATGTCTTTCACTCCACAGTGTAGTACAGCAGGAACAGCTATACCAGACACTAAAGACAATTATAACACAAATTATACAAAACCATTTAACAGAGAGGAAACTGTTTTTGACTGAATTGTTGTAATATGCCACTGAAATATGTGTATGCTTCTTTTATATCTAATAGACAGCCATTATTTATTCAAACTCTTAATAAATCATTGTATTTGTATGCATTTTCAAAATACTTAAAAAAGCATTAAAATTGTGTTGTACATTAAAACTGCTTAAAAGAATTGTAAACAACTCTTATATAAAATTATTACTTTTGAACACTATTAAATATTACCAAAGATTAATTTATTTTTGTAATCAAGGCTGTTTTACTTCTCTGTGAAACTATAAATTAACTTAACAACCAATTTGTTTGACATGCAGAGCCACAACAGCTCTTGGCCCTTTCAGAAGCCAGTGGAGAAGTCTGAAGCTCCAGATTATTATGATCACATCAAGTACCCTATGGGTTTGTAGTTCTTTACAACTGTAATATTCATAATTGCATAAGTATTTTCTGTTTGTTCATTTGAAATTGCCTAACATGTTTTGTATTTAGTTTTAGACTTCACTTATGAAAACAAATGAAGCAGATTAACATTCTGAAAAAGGTTTAATATGTATGTGTGTGTGTGTGTGTGTGTGTGTATATATATATATATATATATATATATATATATATATATA